TATTAAACAAGGCAAATATCTTAAGTAAATTAACCAATCAGTTCATTTGAGTGATTATAGTGTGAGTATGCTGTTGATAGTGTGTTTGTGTATATTTGTGCTGCAGTGTTCTCTTATTTTGAAGTTCTAATTTATGATGTATAACTAAAATTCAACAAAGACTCTAAATTAGGTTAAATTTTGAAAGAGAACAGTTATTTGCTAATCAACCATTTTTTTTTTAAAGATTTATTTTATTTATTTGTGCATACAAGAGCTGGGGTGTAGGCCAGAGATGTAGGGGGAGGGTTGGAGGGGGGAGAGGATTCACCAAAGACAGAGTGGGAGCAAAACAGGCAGATCCACTGAAATATACTGCTGAGTGGAGTGAGGGCAAAACAGAGGTCTGCTGCGCCATGTGGGTAGCTCCCTAGCTGTGGATCAAACTTGTGCTGCAGTGGCTGTGCATAGATAACTTCATAGTGCTGAGACTCAACCTCTTGCCACACCAGGAGGCCCTCAACCATTATTTTGGTACAGTCTGCTTAGTGATCTTTAACAACAGGCAGATACACTGTTAGGTTAGTGCTAAGTGATACATGATTGGTGCATAGTACAGTGACATCAATATAATGTAGAGATTGTGTTGGTTCATATCTGTCCTAGGTAGCAAAGAGTAGGAACAGAAATAGAACCTTCAGCAAAGAAGAAAAAATTCCAGCTACAGAGAGACTCCCTTTCAGGTTTATTTCAAGAACATTAAAGTTAATAAAATTAAACTTGAGCACCCGGTACTTTTTTTTTTTGTCCATTTAGAAGATTTTAAGGAAACAGACATTCAGATTTGCCTGGCAAATAATTGTAAATTATTACTTTGTTCCCACTTTTTTTTTTTTAAATAATAAATTTTATTTTTATATTCCCCATACAATTGCAACCCCCCCATTCTGACCCCAATCCCTCCCCTCCCGCCCCCCACCCCCCAAAAAGTATCTCTGGTTCATAGTTTTTTGTTGATTTTGATTTTCACTTTCTTATAGTTATTCATTTTCCTGGTCCCTTATTTAAGTTTTCTAGATTCCTGCTATGAGTGAGACCATCCGGTATTTTTCTTTTTCTTTCTGGCTTATTTCGCTGAGCATGATCCCTTCCAGCGCCATCCATGTTGCTGCAAATGGCATGTGTTTATCTTTTTTGAATGCTGAGTAATATTCCATGGTGTATATGTACCACATCTTCTTGATCCAGTCATCTATTTTTGGGCATTTGGGTTGTTTCCAAAGCTTAGCTATTGTAAATAGTGCTACTATAAATATAGGGGTGCAGGTGCTCTTTGGAATTGATGTTTCTGTGTCCTTTGGGTAAATACCTAGGAGTGGAATTGCTGGATCATATGGAAGCTCTATGTTTAGTAGGTCCAGAAATCTCCACACAGCTCTCCATAGTGGTTGGACCAGTTTGCACTCCCACCAGCAGTGCAGGAGAGTTCCTTTTTCTCCACACCCTTGCCAACAGAGCACCCAGTACTTTTAGGGGTGGGAGACTCATTCTCAGTATTGCACATACTCCTCTCCCTACCTTAATGTTAGCCCCACTGGCCCAGAGTACTTCCATCTGGATCATCACAGTACCTGTAAGTAGGTACTTCCACTCATTTGTTTTTGTTCATTTAGAATATTCCTATTCATTGTCATGCTGTTCTTACTGATTTTGATCGCCATGTAGATTGTTTCTAAATTTTTACTCTTACAAACATTACATTGAACTTCCTTGTATGTATTATTATGAAATTGAGTGTTAAGATAGGGTGGACTTTTCAAAGTGAGGTTGTTGAATTTTGGATTGTATTTATTTAAAATTAATACATAATGTCCAAGTGGTTCTGTATTTATTTTTAAGATTTATTTATTTATTTATGCAAGCACTGGGTACAGTCAGAAGTGCGGGAGAGTGAGAGAATTCACCAGAGCCAGATCGGAGAGCAGAACAGGCAGAGTGATGAAGTACACTGCTGAGGGGAGCAGCGGGAGGCAGGAGAGGTCTGCGTGCCATGTGGGACCCTCGCCCGGCGGCCGGGAATTGAACTGGCACTGCAGAGGCTGCGGGCAGCTTCGCAACCCGGCGCTCAACCACTGCACCACTGGAGAGGCCCCTGTCCAAATGGTTCTTTAAAAAGAACCAATTTGTTTTCTCATTCATAATGTTTATGAACACCGGGCTGTGAAGCTGCCTGCAGCCTCTGCAGCGCTGGTTCGATCCCTGGCCACCAGCGAGGGTCCCACATGGCGTGACAGACCTCTCCTGCCGCGCCCGCTGCTCCCCTCAGCTGTGTATTTCGTCAGTCTGCCTATTCTGTTCCCCACTTTGGCTCTGGTGAATTCTCACCCTCCTGTGTTTCTGACTGTACCAGTGCTTGCATAAATAAATAAATAAATAAATCTTTAAAAAAAAAAAGACTTATTAATATCTGGAAGTATTCTGCTAAACTAAGCATAGGCTTAGTCAACTGTGAATATTTTGTTTCTTTTTAATTGTGTCTCAGGGCTTATTTGAGGATTGTTAGATCCAACAGTCTTTCAGATACACTTTAACTTATTATCTAAGGATTTGCTAGTTATTTTCTTAGCTTTTTGGTGTGAGGCTTATTAAGGTTGACACTGGGTAAAAAATGCTGGCTAAAATGTTGAAAATAAAGACACAATTACAGCTTGAGTTTAAATATTTGTGAATTCAAACATTTGGGTTTTAGAATTTGCTTTTTCTTGTGTACCTATCTGCTAAAGCCAAGATTGTTCTCATTTTTTATGAACTTTTATTGAACTGCAACATGTATACATAGTGCACAGTTATAAACGTATAGCTTAATGCATTTTCACAAACTGTGCATATGTGCTTGTGGTATAGTCAGTTCCTGGACAAACAGGAAACTTCCCTAAGGCCCCCCATCCTGTTAGTAATCTCACAAAGGTAGCCACTGCCCTGTTTTACAATATCATTGATTTGTTTTTAACTCTATATGAATGGAATCATAGAGTATACTTCTTTCCTCAGTATTATTTGTAAAGGTCATTCATGCTTTTGCATTAGATCAGTCATTTTCTTTATTATTTAGTATTCCACTTTGTGAATAACTATAATTAGGTCTCTCATTTTGTTATTGATCGGAATTTGGGTATACTCCAGGTTTTGGTTAATAGATACATTGCTACTCTCAATATTTTTTAAAAGTGTTCAAAGATGAGTGTGTGTGTGTGTGTTTGTATCCCAGAAACAGACCAAATTAGGTATATATCTTGCTTTAGTAGATACTGCCAGTTTGTTTCTCTTCCAAAGTGGTTATACCACTCCATATTTTTTACTCCATATTTTTACTCCATATTCTTGGTAGTACTTCTTTCTTCCTTGTTTTAGCTATTTTAGTGAGAGTAATTTAAATTTGCCTTTCCCTGTTTTTTTAATTTGACAAATAGATACTTTTTCATATTTATTGACTGTTTAGATAATTCCATTTGTCAAGCCACTTGCTCAAGAATTCACAACTTTTTCCCATTCCATATCACTCTGTTCTTTCCTGTTCCATCTCACTCTGATTTGTAGGAGTCTTTACATAGTGGAGATGTAAGTACTTTGGTATGTTTTACAAATATTTGTTGCTTGCCCGTAGTTATCTTTTCATCTTTTAAGTGGCATGTTTATGAATAAGAGTTGTTAATATTTTCCAGTTTGTCCATAATATTCCAGTACAGTTGTGTGTTGCTTAACATAGGGATACATTCTGGGAAATGTGTTGTTAGGTGACTTAATTGTCACACATCATAGAATGTGATTACACAAACCTACATGGTAAAGCTACTACACACCTAGGTTTTGTGGTACAAACCATTGGGACCATCACCATATAGGGGTCCATACTTAACCCTAATGTCTTTAAGGGACTCATGACAAGATATCAGTTTTCTTTCCTTTTTTCTCTTTAGTGCCTTTTTCTTTCCTTTTTTTTCTGTGTTTTAAGAAATACTGTCTTACTCTCCTAGGTTTTGAAAGTATTCACTGTTTTTTTCCTAGAATGCTTATTGTTTCATCCTTGTTATTTAGATTTAAAATCTGTCTGGAATTGGTTTTAGTGTGGTGTGAGGTAGGGGTCAAGATTCAAACCCCCATCACCTGCAATGTGGATATCTTGTTGACTCAGCGGTGTTTATTGAAGAGATTATCTTAGCTCACTACACTCTTGTGAATTCATAAGTCAGGTTACTGTATATGGGATTCATCTTTTTCTGGACTTTATCTTTTTTATATTTATTTGTGATCTTGCACTAATACTGTATACTCTATAAAACTTTGTGGTAGTTCTTAATATCTAGTAATGTAATTTTTCACCTTTAACCTCACAATGGCTTGGGTTAGTCTTAGTATATTATTTTTAAAAATTTTATTTATGCATATAAGAGCTGGGGTGTAGGCCAGCAGTGCGGGGAGGTGGGGCAGGGAGGGTGTGAGGATTCAGTAGAGACAGTGGGGAGCAGAACAGGCGGAGCTACTGAAATACAATGCTGAGGGGAGCAGTGGGTTTTATTTTTTTTTAAGATTTATTTATTCATGCATACAATAGCTGGGGGATACAGGCCAGAGATGCGGGGCATGAGAGGATTCAGAGACAGAGTGGGGCACAGAACTGGCAGATTGACTGAAATACACTGCTGAGGGGAGCAGCGGGTGAGACAGGAGAGTCTGCTGAGCCATGTGAGTTGCTCCCAGGCCGGCGGGGGGGGGGGGGGGGGGGGGGGGGGGAGGGGAGATCTAACTCTTGCTGCAGAGGCTGCAGATTGCTTCATAGTGTGGTGCTTAAACCCTTGCGCCACTAGGGAGGCCCTATTTTCCTATAAATTTTAAAGTTTAATTTGTTAACTTTTACAAGAAAATCTGCTGGGATTTTATGTCAACTCTAAAGATAACATTGAGGAGAATTGGTAGCTTAAAAATAGTGAATTTTCCAAATATCTCTTTTACCTTTCTCACAGGTGCGGACCATGTCTAAGGATTGCCCCAGCATTCAGTTCTATGAGTAATAAGTATCCACAGGCAGTCTTCTTGGAAGTAGATGTACATCAGTGTCAGGTAAGTGAAAGGTATACTTTAAAAAAAATAATAATTCACAGTTCAGTTTGAAATTTGACATTAATGTTATCTATCTTCACTTACCTCTCTATGTGCATAGTACTCCTTTGAAAATAGCAAAATGTTATGTTGACGTGACACCGGTGAATTGGTGGTGGGAATTTCCTGGGGGCTACACCTGAGAGGAGAAAGCATACATTGTACAAAAATGAAGAATGATGTAAAATATATTTATAAAATTTTTTAAAAATGTCATTACTTTCTTAGTTAGGAAGGACAGTCCAATATTAATTGCTTGTTTATATTAACATCCTTCTGATACGGAACTAATACTGTGTTGTTATACTTAATAGGTCACCTGCAGTTCTGTGTTTTACATTACTTTGATTATCTTTTGCAAGTCTGGAATCATATCTTCTATTACAGAGGCATTGACTGATTACAAAGCTAGGGCAGAGAATTTTTGGTTATAGTTTGATTTGAATCGATCCATTTGTAATCTTAGCTCCAAAGCTGCATATCAGTAGAAACGTTAGTCTTGATTACTGTTGATTGAGCCAGTGTTGTAGGTAGGTTGCCCTGATTAGTTTGAATGACTGTGTGACAGTTTTGCATTTGCATGTGTAGAAATATGGGGGAGTTGTTTGGAAAAAATTTGAAGAGACTTCTGACACTGAAAATATGATCGTTAGTTCTGACTAAAGAACACCTCTGTAACTACTCTTTTCTGTGGGTGTGGGGGTGAGGGTTAATGTGAGATTTTTACCTTTGGTATATTTCAGTGTGAAAAAAAATTTTAAAGTGTTAAACAGTTAGTAGTTTGGGGATTTGGTTTAAACTGTTTTATATCTTTATTATTCAGTACTTAATGTCACGTTTTACTAGACTGCAGAACTGGCCCTTATTTGAAGTATTTTTATTATTTGTCATCTGGAATTGCTGTCTTCTTGATGTGTTGTGCTAGCTACATGTGGTAATTGAGTACTTGTAGTACATTCAGTTAAAATTGATATGTACTGAAAGTGTAAAATTTTGAATCTTACTGTAAAAGCAAAAAAGTAAAATATCTCATTGACTATATGTTAAAGATGCATATATTATATTCACTAAAAATATATCACGAAAACTCATTTTACTCGTTTCTCTTTATTTTTTTATTGTGGGTACTGGAAAATTTTAAATTACTTAAATTGCTCATATTTATCTTTTACATTATACTTCTTACATATAGCAATATTCTAAAAGGTCAACCGTGTTTTTTTTTTTTCTCTCAAAATTTATGAGGCTTAGAGAAGACATCTCTTAAACTTTATGCTTTTTTCTTTAAAAATATAATGGTTTCTCTTCACAGTATTTGAATATGCAAGGTGACACATTGGCTTTACATTTCTCATGTGAAGTTTAAAACATGAATGAGTGATAATGAATTAATTTTCATTCAGTAGTTAGTCTTATCATATTCTGCAGTTGGAGTAGAATTTCAAAAGATAACTGTTGGAATCTATTTGTTGGGAGACCAGAAGTCATTTCTATGAGTGGAATTAAGTGTGATTGCAATGCAAAGGACCTTACCTCCTTTTTAGACAGATATGCTGATGTGTTTTACTTTTTCCTAGTAGCAGTGGTTTATACTGACAGATAAATGCCCTTTTTGGTTACTCATTTGAGAAACAGTATGTTCTTATAAGAGAGCTATATGGTATAGTGTTCTTCTTTATGGATTTAAGAGTAATAACAGTTTTGCACTTTAGGAATAATACTGCTTTTTCTTTAACATTAATTGGGGAAAATTGTTTTATATGTTTTTCATCCATGCTTGTGATATTTAACTTCCACTGAGATACAGAGTGTATATTCAGAGTGTTTTAAGGTTAGTTTTAATTCCTAATGCCATCTAACTTGCCAATTCTAGGGAACAGCTGCCACCAACAATATATCAGCAACACCTACATTTTTGTTTTTTCGAAACAAAGTGAGAATTGATCAGTATCAAGGAGCAGATGCTGTGGGATTAGAAGAAAAGATCAAGCAGCATTTAGAAAATGACCCTGGAAGCAACGAGGATACAGATATTCCAAAAGGCTATGTACGTAGACTTAAATGTAAAATCATGTTATCTTGCATTTGTCATTATTTGATTAAAATGAAATTGACCCTGTTTTCATGTTTTATATTCTACTAGTTTAGAAAACTTTCAGATAAGGACTTTAAAAGTAAAATCATTAACTGACTATTGGGTTTTGCTTATGAATATGTATTATACCTAAGGCTCCACCATAAATATTTTTCCTAAATTTTTTTCTGCTACTTTGCTATGTTTACTTAAAAATACTCTTTCTGAACTATTATTATAGCCAATTTTAAACATTAGTTTTATATTTTCCCCCCCAAGTAGTGAAGAGATGGGCATTGAAGAATTTTTTTACTTTTTGACATTCGAATAAAATGACTTGTAAGTTTTAATGTGGTATCATTATATACTGAATCCCTTTCCTGCCGCTTCTTTTCCCTCTTTAAAAGTATTCCCTTCTTTCTGGCGCTCTACTTTAAAAAAGCTAGTTACTGATTTTGTTTTAGAATCAAATGTGACTTTAGTATTGAATGTGTTTTTCTGAGCTTTAAGAGCAAATTACTCTGAATAATAACTTGAAGACTTAGGGAAAATTTTTTTGAAAATGATGTAATGTGAATAGTTATAATGCAGTATATTTATCATTTGAGAGTTATTCAGGAAGGAAGTAAAATTCTGGAGTAGCACTTCATAGTAGCTGATTTGTTTATGCAAATTGGTAAATGTTGCATACAAACATTTCTCTTTTTACAAATTTCTTATTTTTTTTTTTGTTATAAAGTTATTGTGAAAGGCAACATCAATCTAATATGGTAGCCACCAGGCACATGTGGCTGTTGAGCATTTATTATATGTCAAGCGAAACTGAGGAACTGAATTTTTAAATGTATCTACTTTTAATTAATTTAATTTTAAATCACCGCATTTGGCTAATGGCTATCTTATTGAACAGTGCAGGTCTAGACCATCTGTCTTATAGACTGTCCCACAATCTGGATTTGTCTGATTATTTTCTTATTCTTTCCTTATTGTTGGCAAGTTGATTATATAGGGAGTGATATTTATTTTCCATTATATATTTTCAGAATATGTCAGTTTGTAACTATGTCATATATATAATATAATGGCAATCTTGCCCTAGATAATATATCCGGTTGAATGTTATACGTTTTGTGTGCTCATAATAAATGAAAGTTTAATAATTATTTTAAAATTTAGTATTTTATTTTATTTTTAAAATTTATTTATTTATACAAGCACTGGGTACAGTCAGAAGCGCGGGAGGGTGAGAGAATTCACCAGAGACAGAGCGGGGAGCAGAACAGGCAGACTGATGAAATACACTGCTGAGGGGAGCAGCGGGCGTGGCAGGAGAGGTTTGTGTGCCATGTGGGACCCTCGCCCGGCAGCTGGGGATTGAAGCAGCGCTGCAGAGGCTGCAGGCAGCTTCTCAGCACAGCGCTCAACCGCTGCGCTACCGGGAAGGCCCAAAAAATTTAATATTTTAAATAATTCCCCTATTTAGTTTATTTTCAACAGTGTTGTCGTCATGCCTGGATCCTAATCCTAGATGCAGTACTAGGCATCTTGGAAAAATGGAAGATATAAACATTTTAAAGATTTTGTCAATACTGTCCTTTTAGGGCAAATACTGATGACATTCAGAATAACTGTACCATAACAGAACTTTGTTCAGCAATGTTCCTTTTTATCCTCCTCCCTTTTTTGAATTGGCTATAACATTTTACCCTGAATAATATATTGAATATTTAATGTAATGTTTAATGTAATACAAAGTAACTGTGTAATTTTGGCTTTGAAAGCATTTAGTCTACTCCATGAATAAGTAGAGGTCTACTCTAATGGATTATTACCATATTGGAATTTATTTAACATGTAAAATAGTGTTTTTTAGCTTTCTAGAATTGTATATACATATACATTAATGTCCTGGATTAAAAAGAATGTGAAGACTCTAGATAGGTGAACATGCAAAGATAGAAAGATGAGCATATAAAACTGATAATCTAAATACTTGGTAAATTTTGAAAATTGTCCTTGTTTAGTATATGAAATGGGTACTTTTCCTTAAAACCACAATTTATCAAAATCAACTCCACTAGAAACAGACCACCTAATAGAGCAATCACCATACAGGAAATACAGAAAATAGTAAAAGTCAAGATGATGTTGTTACAGGGAGATTCTGGCGAATTATTAAAGATCAGACAGTCTGGTGTTACTGTAAGTACTTAAGGCAATATAAAAAGAGACAAAACTGCTATATTTTCTTTTGAAGTGTGACCTTGATCCCAAAATCAACAAGATTTGCACCAAAAAAGATAACTACTGACCAGTTCCAGTTAGAAATATTGGTATGGATGTTAAATAAAAGCTAAACTAAATGTAACAATGCATAGAAGAAAATTCATGATCTCTAGTGTGCATAAAAAGCATGGACAAAATTTAACACTCATTTACATATAAAGCATTCAATAAAATCTTCATGGGAAACACTACTCATCTCCACTGAAGTTAGAAGCAGGACTACTGTACTGCAACTCTGGTGTTGTGCTGAAAGTATGAAGGTTTTGAACCGACTCAGGAATATGATAATACCACAGGGAAGTAGTCAGCAAAGTCCAGAAAAAATAAATGTATAGACAAAATGACCATAGATTAAAAGAAATTTTAGAGACACATTAACTAAATTCAGTATTTGTACTTTTTTTGATCATTATTCAAGGTCTAATAATTCATCTGTAAAACATTTATGAGGCAGTAGAGGAAATTTGAACACTGAGTTTTGATAAGGAAATGTTCATAGATTTGGTTATGGTTATACTGAGGGTTCATTTTTAAATGAATTTCTTAGAAATATACATGGAAATATTTATGAATGAAATGGAGAAAATGCCTGAGATTTACTTGAAAGTAATCAGGAGATGCGTCAGGAACTTGTTGGGAGGGTGGTGGTAAAGAAGAAACAAGAGTGGCCTTGAGTTGATTATTTTTCTGGTTGGGAGATGGGTCCATGAGGTTTACTGTATTAGTCTATTTATGTATGTTTTTGAAATTTTCCAACATAAAGTTTAAGCCCTTACTTGCTATTCATCTTAAATCTAAGCACTTCATGGATAAAGGTTTAAAGACACCATGGCCATTGGAAGAGGGAAATAGCCTTTCTTGGATCTCAGCAGATATTTAAATTGCATGTTTTCTACTGCTTACAGCTATACACTTTTTAAAAGGTGTGAGTTAACATTTTATTATCTTAGTGTTAAAGATTTGGTTTCTGATAGCTTGTTGAGTAGGCCCAGCCTAGATTTGGCTTTAATAATTAGTGGTATTGGACCTCTCTGGTGGCGCAGGCAGTTCAGCACCGCACTATGAAGCTGTCTGCAGCCTCTGCAGCGTGGGTTCGATCCTGGCCGGCCAGGGAGATGACCCACATGGGGCAGCAGACCTCTCCTGTCTTGCCCCGCTGCTCCCCTCAGCAGTGTATTTCAGCCTGCCTATTCTTTTTTTTTCTTTTTTTTTTTTTTTAAGGTTTCTTCATTCATTTATACAAGCACTGGGTACAGTCAGAAGCGCAGGAGGGTGAGAGAATTCACCAGAGCTAGAGCGGGGAACAGAACAGGCAGACTGACGGAACACACTGCTGAGGGGAGCAGCGGGCGCAGCAGGAGAGGTCTGTGCGCAATGTGGGACCCTCGCCAGTGGCCGGGGATCAAACCGGTGCTGCAGAGGCTGTGGGCAGCTTCGCAGCCCAGCACTCAACCACTGCGTCACCAGGGGAGGCCCAGTCTGCCTGTTCTGTTCCCCGCTCTGTCTCTGTTGAATCCTCTCACCCTCCTGCACATCTGGCCTGTAGCCCAGTTCTTGTATAAATAAATGATTCTTTAAAAAAATAATAATAATTAGTGGTAGATCTCAGTCAGAAATTCAATTGAAAAGATTGTTGTGAAAGTTTTAGTAACTTTTAAAAGAAATAGAGGTTTTTTTTAAAATCGCCTAATCTAGAGAGAATCACATATTTAAATTAAGTTTTTATGCTAAATCTAAATATTTTAGCTAAGGAATTGATTTAATTTTTTTTCAGATGGATTTAATGCCTTTTATTAACAAAGCTGGCTGTGAATGTCTTAATGAAAGCGATGAGCATGGATTTGACAACTGTTTACGAAAAGATATGACCTTCTTGGAATCTGATTGTGATGAACAGGTATTTGAATGCTTAAGTTAAGAATTGTAGGCAGTATCATTTTCTGTGCCCATTCTTGTTTCTTTATTGTGTTTCATTTCATGGTTTTATGGCTCTCCTTCCCAGATTACCACTTCTTTCCATTTCTTTGATTGCTTGTCTTTTATCCATGTGTACGCACCTCCTTTCTTTGTTCTTTGTCAGCAGCCAGTGTACTGGGGAGAACAGTGGAACTCTAGATCGGCCCCACTGCTAAGTGTAGCCTTCACCACTCTTGGGTCCTTTGTTCTTCTTGACCTGCCTTCCACACTTTTACCCACCTAGATGAGCTTGTCTTTGAGAAGATGGGACCAATTAGATGAGCACTCCCTAAATTTCTAGTCCTCACTCCTAGAAGTGAAGTTGTGTGCTCCTCTCTGTTGTCACAGAGGAAGTGGTGCAGTATTGCTTGACCAGACTTACTTCATCTTGACTGTTAATTTCTTGAATTTACTTTCTGTTTGTTGTTTGCTTTGTCCCCATTCCAATTTATTTTCCACACGTTTACAAAAGTTTCTTTTCTAAAATATAAATTTGATCCTGTTTGTCTTTCTTAGAAGAAATAAATGATTCTTCACTGACTGTAGGAACAGAGTGTCAGATTCCCACTGACTTCATCAATTTGGCATTCCTACTTCATCTGTTCACCTGTGGTTCAAGTCCCTGAGTGTGTCATGCTTATAATTTTTCGACACACTGTTATAGGTCAAGTATTAAAAGGCACTTATATAACCAAGGGCAATAATCTGGCCATTTTATGTGTTTAGGCAAACACACCACAGTGATTCCAAAATCATAAATCCACACCCCATCTTTCTCTCCAGTCAGAGCTACTTTACTCTGTAGCTTTGAAGGTGTGTTCCCATTGTGTTCCTTGTAAATGTTCTATATGTCATGATGCATATCAGCAAGACTCCAGTTACAGCTTCCCTGAACTAGCGCTCCCAGGATAGAAATACACGTACCTGTATCAGACATAATTTGAGCTGAAAAGAAGATTGAGTGAATGAATTAGTTTTTGAAAGAGAGGCATTTCTGATAATATTTTGTATCCTAGTTCCCTAATGTGACCTTCCAAAATCAGTTTCCCATGTAAGTTTAGGATAGAGGTTTGGAGATTTTAGCATAACGCTCTAAGAGTCCTATTCTCTTGAGTTTGGGATTACAGTTCACTTGAGGACTAGTCTCTCCATATAACCTCACATTGTCTCCCAGTTGGTAAGTGACATGGATAGATACTTGGCAGGTAGACCTAGAAAACATTAAACATATGTACTAAAACATAAAGTTAAATTTAATTGGGGGGTTTGAGTGTGACTTTTTTGGAAAGCAGATTGCCAATTATAGGTGACAAGACTTTCGGTTCTTAAATGTAATTTTAGTTAATTTATTCCATTGAATTTTGTTTTTGCCATTCCTTATATGAATATTAGGAGATTATGTTTTTCAAATGTCAATTTAATGAAGTTACCTCATTTTGATTTCCATATTATATTCCTTTTGTTAGATGAATTAAAATATTTCTACTTCTGTTATTTTCATTCTGTTTAGCTGTTGTGTGTATTCAAGGTGTTCAAGAGTCTTTTTAAAATAAGACTTATTTTTTTTTCACAGCTACTTATTACTGTGGCATTCAATCAACCTGTTAAGCTTTATTCAATGAAATTTCAGGGGCCAGATAATGGTGAGTAATGGGTAGCTTTAACTTCGTATTGTATAGACCCGTTAGAACTTGTTTCAAACTTTGTATTAAATGCAGGTAGCTGTTTTCTTGCTTTAGCATAGAGTAAAACTTTTTATAACAAAGCATGGATATAAATGAATGGGCAAATTATATGAGATTATTTGGGACTGAAAGTGCCCCCAAAATCTTTTGCCTTATTTCTAAAGTTTCTTAAGAATTTAAGTTCCCTCCTAAGTTTTCTTAAGTGAAAACTAGGAAACACTTTTTGTCAACTATTTTTTAAAACTCTAGATTCAAAACCACATTTTTAAGTATCAGAATGGGAGAGGTTAATTTCAAATATCTTCCTATTATGGATAATAAAACTAAGGCTCTAGATCTTCCTATGTGAGCTCTATTAAGTTTCCTCTTCTTTGGTCCTGCTGCCTGCTCTGCTCCCTGCTCTGCTCCCTGCTCTGGCTTTGGTGAATTCTCTCACCCTCACGCGCTTCTGACTGTATCCAGTGCTTGAATAAATAAATCTTTCAAAAAAAAAAAAAAAAGCTTTAAGTTTCCTCTTCTTTGCACAGACTTGGCATTTCTTTTTTAATTAAATAAGAAATTTTCATGATTTATCCCTTACCTCCTAAATGCCTTTTAAATAATAAACTGTACAGTTGTTGGCAACTGCACGACCCAGTTCAAGAATTCTTTTATGAAACTTTTTTGTTGACTGTAAGACTCCATTGCGGGGCCTCCCCGATGGCGCAGTGGTTGAGCACTGGGTTGCGAAGCTGCCCGCGGCCTCTGCGGCGCTGGTTCGATCCCCGGCTGCTCCCCGGCCACTGGAGGAGGGTCCCACATGGTGCGCAGACCTCTCCTGCCGCCCGCCCGCTGCTCCCCTCAGCAGTGTACTTCGGTCCTTCTGCCTGCTCTGCTCCCTGCTCTGGCTCTGGTGAATTCTCTCGCCCTCCCGCGCTTCTGACTGTGCCCAGTGCATGTATAAACAAAAACAAACAAACAGATAAAATAAATAAACATGCCTCTATTTAAAAAAAAAAAAAAAAAACTACAAAAAAAAAAAAAGACTCCATTGCGACCTTCCCTATACCTTCTTACCAGTAATATTACATTTATCACAGTATGGCTTTTATAGTTGAGAGTAGAAATTCTTTATATAGAACACACTCACACCTATATACATATGTATGTTTGTGTATGTGTATTTGTGTGTGTGTGTGTTTTAATCTAGTTTCCCTAGTTATTTTGTGTAGTAGTAGCAGACCAAGTATATACTGTTAAATATCTATTGAAAAAGAGGAAAACTATGACTACAAAAATACTTTCTTAAAATTTCTAAAAGAGAGGTTTACAAAGATATGTATAGGTATGTGTAGGTGTGTATATATGTATGTCTGTGTTGTATGGTGTGAGTGTAATGATAAAGAGAAGAATTATATGTGATTTATGTATTTACTATTCTATGTTTACAGGTCAGGGTCCTAAATATGTAAAAATTTTTATCAATCTACCCCGATCTATGGATTTTGAAGAGGCAGAAAGAAGTGAACCAACTCAAGCTCTGGAACTAACAGAGGATGATATTAAAGAAGATGGTATTGTCCCACTTCGTTATGTGAAGTTTCAGAATGTTAACAGTGTAACTGTAAGTAGTATTTCGTTCAACGATATTTAGTGGGTTTATGGGTGACAATTCATACTATCTTCAGGATCCATGTGATCCTTTAAAGTGGTTATTTGTCGACGTGGTTTGAAATAATTTTTACAATGTAAAAATATATGTAATGAGCCAATTAAAATTTTCTTTTTTAAAACATTTATCTGTGTGCCCTTAAGAGGAAGGTGAATTTGTTAGTGTACTATGTTATATGCGTGTATTATATATTTGGCAGCTTTTGTTAAAAGTTTACTCTGGAACATTTGTACTTAAACTGAAGATATTCTTGCTTTATCCTTTATATCTGGTGTTAAGTAATGATACATTTGTAACCCCCAGTTTCTTTTTTCCAGGATTTAATAGTGTAGTAATCATGATATCAATAAAAATGACTTTTTAAAAAGATAACTTCACATTATCTTAATTTACATTTTCAGCTCTACTTAGTGCTAATTCCTTTGGTGAACATCAGTATTGGAATTCAGCTCATGCAACCCTGCTCAGTCCAGTCCTTCAGAAGAGGGGTAGGAGGGCATGAGTAGAATAGCAGAATACTTGGAGAAGGAATGGCAACCAGCAGGGGCCACTGAGAACAGTTGTGACAAATTAGTGTGATTTCTTTCTTTTAATGGAATGAGTCTGGTTTTTGTAAACTAGAACATTATAGCATGTGTTCATTTTAGGAGGTTTTCAGTGGAGTTTCACAATACATATATTTAGTAGTAAGATGAAAGATTATTTTTTTGAATTTTCAGTATTTGAAATATCCTCTTCCAGTGAAATTAAAGAAAAAATGGTTACATTAAAGTAGAACACTGCTTATCAAATTTGGAAGGCATTTGTTGAAAAAAAGCCCCTTCTACCTAGAGATCCTGATATAATGTGTCTTCAAAATGATAATTTTGACCAGAAAATCTAATTAAAGCAACTTAATATATTTTAAAGCCAGTAAATGTAAATTTGTGTTTTGATTCAAAGATCTGTACGAATAAATAAATGGAGACCTGATTTAATAGTCTACTTATTGTTGAATTGGAATTTTTAACTGATGATAACCTCAATTTGAGGTGGATCTATGGTTGCCTATGATGAGTCCCATCTGAGAAAGGAGTATGATGTTGAAACCAAGAGAGGTGGTGTTCTTAAGTGATAGCATCTAGAGTAATACTGTGTTTTTTTAAATGGGGAAAGAAGAAATCTAATATATTGAAAAAGGATCAGTGAGTAAAGGTGTTGTCTCTTAACATGCTGAAAGGAGTTTTTTAATAGAAAGTATAAAGCATTAAGCTTAAAAAATATGCAAGGCATAGTATGATTTTAGTTGATCCTTTTTAAAGATTTATTTATTTACGCATACAAGAACTGGGGTATAGGACAGAGGTGTGGGAGGTGAGAGGATCCACCAGAGACAGAAGGAACAGAACAGGCAGACTGACTGAAATACACTGCTGAGGGGAGCAGTGGGCGAGGCAGGAGAGGTCTGCTACACCTGTGGGTAGCTCCCTGGCCAGCCGGGAGATCAAACTCATGCTGCAGTGACTGGATAGCTTCATAGTGCTGTGCTTATCCCTTGCGCCACCAGGTAGGCCCTTAGTTGATTTCTAGTGCTACTTTCTCCTTCAGTATTCTGGGAAATTGAATGGAAATTAGAAAGAATACAACCTCAAAGATTTTCTTCAGTGAAAAACTAATAAAATTTCAATAGTGTTCTGCCCATTGTCATCAGACATCTTACATTCCATCGCTTTCTCTGGTTTAATCATGACTCCTCATACTGGCACACTAAATTATCAGGAACTGGAGAAGATTATCATCCCTGGAGAAGATGAGAATAACAGAGCCTTGGCTACCCCTCTCAGAATCTGCCCCTCCCAGGCTGTAAAGACCTATCTTCCTCTGCAAGGATGAGCATGGGGTCGTGGATGAGAACAAGGGCTTCCGGTTGCTGTCCTGGCTCTGTCACATAGCCTTCAAACTATGCCTTTGTGCTGCAAGTAATATATATATACTTACTAGTTTGGATTAATCTTCATATTTTTATTGTCTAAGGAAGCTTACTAAATTTAAAGAATGTTTATGGAAAAAAGTATCATAAATGAAAGTGTAAAGTGTTGTGATTTCTTTTTTTTGGTAGATATTTGTTCAATCCAATCAAGGTGAAGAAGAAACAACAAGAATTTCATATTTTACCTTCATTGGTACTCCAGTCCAGGCAACAAATATGAATGACTTCAAACGAGTAAGTATTTTAAAATGATATTTGGGGGAATAAAAATGTTATTGAAAAGAAATAATTTCATAAAGATCCACAATCATCATGGCATTAAATTTTGTAAGATGAATGTATATAGTAGGTTCTCCTTTAGATTTTCAGATATCCAACTGAAAAAATCTGTAATACAAATGTCTTATGGATAATAGTGTCTATTAGTGAATGGTATCCAAATAAGAAGTAAAAATAATAGTTTGGTTATAGAAAGTAGGAATAACAGAAAAATAAGAGTTATGTCATTACTTGAAAGTAGTAAGTACTTCGCTGATATTAAGATCTTGATTATCAGTGATTTTGATGAAATTTTAAATGACTTCAATAATTTAATGATTAAAGTTCTTTTTGATAAAAGAAAGGACTTGTTTTACTTCATTGAGATAACTTTCCAAACTCTGCGTTTGTGCTAAAAAGATCACATTTCAGTAAATTTATAGTGAGTAGTCAGGCTTCGCATACACACACACACACACACACACACACACAACAAAGAATATGAAAAATACATATATGAGAAAAATTTTTGTGTGTGTGTGTGTATATATATATATTTTTTTTTTTTAAAAGAGGACATAATCCTAAGGTTTATAAAGAAACCTTAGGGGTTTGAAACCTTGGGACTTTTTGGAATGACATTTCGTACATTCATGGAATGGAATTACTTCTAACTGATAACAGTTCCTTGGGGTGACTGTTAAAATGTGCAACCACAGATCGTAAGTGCTACCACGAGCTTTATCGGTATAGGGCCCAGTTGCTGCGCACAGATAAATGTGCAGCAGCACAGGAGATGGGGGGACCACAGTGTTTCTGAGCTGCATGAGCAGGCAGGCTAGAACCTGAGGTGATTATAAGAGTGGAAGAGTTTCCCTAGGGTTTTCAGCACCTGGAGTGGGAGGCACCCGGTGTAACAGTTTAGATCCCTGTTTGGGAAAGTAGAATTCAAGGATATCCTGAGAAATCCTGTGGGGTTTTTTTGCTTTTTGGGTTTTTTTTTTTTTGCATAGGCAGTATTTTCTCTGTTTACTGAGGTAACAATAGTTTGAATTCTTATTCTATATTCTATGGTGATATCTACAGATCTGATTTTAATTCAGTTACAGAGAAATTCATAAAATTACCTAAGAGTGGATGAACTTACACAATTGTGTGCTATTTGATTTCAACTGGTCATTTTTCCACTGCTATTTTCCTGTCTCATAGCATAATTAACTTTTGGAAGCTGTAGAAACAATTGTGTACTTTGTCATGTCAAGTGTTTGACATATGTATAATGACAGGTCAGAAGAAGCAGAGATTAAACATCTACATTTTAATGATATGAAATATGCTGTACTGGAAAAAATGTGTGAGCAACAAAGACACTTTGGCTGCCTGCTTTGTTACTTTGCCTGTTTGAATTAAATTCCATTGGATTTTGCTTGGATTTTGTAGTTCGTTTTAGCTTAATCACATTATAAAACTTATTACTGTAAGTCCTCTATTATTTCCTCACACCATTAATCCAGCCCTGGTTTCCACCTTCTCACTTGAGCTTTTATGCAATTTTATTTCCCTTTTTTTCCTCAAAATAACCACTGTTTGGTCTTTCCCATCTTCCCAGTCTGCCGTTCAGTTGTGGTTTTTCTAATGTAAAATAATTGTCCATCTAAGAATCTGTTTCTACCTCTTTGTTTCTAACGGCCCCTCTCCCACCCCAGAATGGTTTATCTCTATCATCTCTTACCAAATTGTCATTTTTTAACTGTTTTTAGGATAGCAAAAGTATTAGAATTTTCTTGCTTGAGAGTATATTCATATTTATTATATAATTTGATTATTCATATAACAAAATACTTTTTTGATCTTTCTGAAATTACTGTACAGATCTTATCCTCAAACGTTTTGGTCTCAGGACCCTTTTATACTATTAAATGTTATTAAAGACCAAAACAGAAGCTCTATATTTGTCTAATGTTTATTGTCTAAGAAATTAAAACTGAGAAACTTTATAAATATTTGCAAATAATAAACACATTATATATTAACATAGATATCTTAAAAAATGCTTTCTTTCAAAAAACAAGTTTAGTGAGGAGCATTGCTTTACACTTTAACAAATTTCTTTATTGCCTTGTTTAACAGAACCCTCTCATTCTCTTACTTGCTTCGGCATTTAGTCACTGTTACTATCACAGCTCATGCGTCCTCTGGAAAATTTCATTGTACACTTGGGAGATAATGAGAATTGAAAAGACAGATAAAAATTGAACATTATTAAGGAAATTGTTTTGATCTCAAAGACTCCTAGAAAAGGGTCCCAAGGACCCCCAATCTGAATCGCACCTTGAGAACAGATGTGAGAATAATACTGAATGGAGTCCCTTCTTGGTGTTCTAGACTTTTTAGTCCCTTGCTTTTAATGTTTGAATTTGTTGGGTTGAAGATTTTCTTATATTTGTTGGTATTATGTTGCATTTGCATTTAATTGCTTTTGACTGAGATCTCTTCTGCCTGTGTCATTGCATTAATTGTCCTGTAGGGTTATTCCTCAAAAGTAAGCCAGTATATCATTGTTTTTTTGTTTTTTTTTTGTTTTTTTAAAGATTTATCTTTATTTATTTATACAAGCTCTGGGTACAGTCAGAAGCGCGGGAGGGCGAGAGAATTCGCCAGAGCAGGGAGCAGAGCAGGCAGAAGGACCGAAGTACACTACTGAGGGGAACAGCGGACGGCAGGAAAGGTCTGCACGCCATGTGGGACCCACCTCCGGTGGCCGGGGAGCAGCCGGGGATCGAACCCGTGCTGCAGAGGCTGCGGGCAGCTTCGCAACCCAGCGCTCAACCGCTATGCCACCGGGGAGGCCCATATCAGTGTTTTTTATGTTATGCTGATAAGTCAATATTACTTCAGTGTAAGAAAATTACAATTAAAAATTTATGTTTGACAGTTGGGTCTTTGTATAGATAGGATCACTCACTAAAAATTACAAATGAGTTTGGTTTCTAAGTGAAAGAAATAATGGATATGTGGTATGGTACAGGTACAGTCATCATTCTTGTCTATCGTGAGTTTAGGGTATTGGATAACCATTTGGAAAGTCAGTCAAAAATTAATCAAAGCTTAGTTCAAGTCTCCTTTCCTGTACAGAGTAGTGTCCTATTTTCCCAGCCTGGTGATATTTCCTTCTTTCTGACAATGGCTGGGGAAATATCAACATATTTTGTGAAGGAAGAGGAACTTAAATGTTGAAAGTAGACATGGGGAAGGGAGAAGAGCAATGGATACTCTGGGTAGAATGGAAAACAGGAATTTAGCCGTGAAGCAGGAAGGCCCAGGGCTCATTTAAGGACAAGTCAAGTGCGGCACTCTTTTCCCTTACTTAGTCAACATTATTTGAAAGGAATTGCACATATTAATTATAATTTCAAATCTCAGGTTAGATTTGGCATGTGTTTTATTAGCTCAGGGCAGAAAGTTTTCATACCTTTTTGTGAAGAGAGCTATAAAATGGTTGAGTGAATGATAAAATACAGTTTAGCATTTCCAGTTCACATTTTTATGTTGTATAAGTTGTATCTAGATAATGTTAGTTTTCAGAATATCATTGACCACCTCCTTATGTCATTAAATTGGCAGAAGCTTAGGTAATGCTGATGAATTTTGATGTGGATAGAGATCTTTGCCTACCTTGCATGCTGTTACAGCTTTCGATGTTTATACTTTTAAGATTTGTTGGGCTAGAACACCCCTTCCGCATGTCTGTTTATTGGCTCTTAGAGGCATGGTGCACAGATTATAATATACGCTTAGGATATATGTTGTTGTCAATGAATTTTTTGTGTTGCGTCATGAAAAAGCTTGCCACCTTAATTGGAAGTAGATGTTTTCTTTGCTAAAATATGCTATTTATATGGATTATTTATTTTAATACAAAAGTATTAAAATAAAAGTGTACTAAGTGAGCAAAATTGTAGGGGCTTTTGCTTTTGAGGGAATGAGGTGCATGTGAAAAGTAGAGCAGATTATCGCTGTGATTAAAAATAGATCTTTCTAAACTGGCATTCACTGTATCAGCTATTTTTGTAACATATCTGTCTGTTTATTTTTCAGCTTTTTTAATCCAACTCAAATGAACTAAAAACAGAAGATTTAAAAAAAATGAATATAAAGATTGACCTTATCTCACTCTCCTCCCCTCCTTGCTTCTCTACTCAGCTAGCACCTGTTTGCTCTCACCCTTCCCATATTCTCGCCATTGCTGGTGCAAGATTTCTCCAGCTTCTCTCATCTGGATCAGCCTTCTTGTTACCTAGATTTTCTCAGCCATCTCTTTCATCAAACCTCACTCAAATCATGTTTCTCAGTTGGCCTTTTATTTTGTTTTGATTTTTGATTTGGGCTTGCAACTAGGTGCTTTCATTTCATTACCACACTGTGTTGCTCACCTGACTTTTTAACTTCCTCCTGTCTCACGTTTAATATTGTACTACATTTTGAAAAATAATATTGCAATAAAATATATTGTTGTAAATGCTTTCAGATTTAGCTAGTTGTTGGGTAATGTTTAATATGATGTAAAGTTTAACTTTATTTTTTTAGTAACTGTAGAATCATTTTGGAAATCAAAGATGAATACTTTCTTTTATACTGAGTTCATTTATACTAGAATTATGTGTTGATTAAACTGTAGTACTAGCATACTACATTGATTAGACTGTAGTTGAGAGATACGGGTTTTTCTTTTTCTCATTGAAACTATAGCCCAAAAAGTCTTTTTGCTAATTAATGTGGGCTTGTCCTTGTTTTGTCTACCCAAGCGAGCTTAAGGCCGGTTGAGAGTACGGACTGATTGTTAAGCTGGGTTAAAATAGTAACACAAAGATCAATGGACTCTTTACTGAATAAATATCTTTGACACCTAATTTTGCTGTACCTAGACGTGTATTTGAGGTGTTATATAAAGACTTTAAAATGAATAAAAGAGCTTTATTTTGGCAACGAGAACATCCATATTGTAGTGCTGAATTTCTTCTTTTTTACAGAGAATACACATTGGAAAGTTGAGAGTTATCAACCTGTGAAACAGTATGCAGATTTGTGTCTGCTGTGTCACATCTGCTAAAATTTTAATTTTTAATATTGGTTTTGTTTTCTTCTGTTTAATTAATAGCTCTGTGTTTGGCGTGTTCCTAGGTGATATATAATGATCAATAACACTTTCAGTGTTTATCTGCTTAAATTTATTTTTGTATAAATCCTGCCCCCTCACCTTCTTTCTTAAGACTCTCCTGGGCTCTTAATATCTGAGTTTCTTACTTTCATCTACATACTCTTAGGAGACTTATCTCTTTAACATCTTTCTGACTTTCTGAACTTTCTAATATATGGTTTCCTTGGATCAGAGAGAGAGCTTTTTAAAGTTGTAAAAGTGGTTTTCTATGAGGGGAAAAACAGTATTTCTGGCTTCATGTAATTGGGAATTCAGTGGAAAGGGTTTTTATAATCTTCTCTGCTGAATGACATTGACCCAACCATATTTTATTTCAGACCAAACATGTACTGAAGACCTTTGAGTTTTGCTTGATATAGACACTTGCAATTTAGAATCAATTTAAATTGATTCTACTGATCTAAATTATATTTATAAATGTATATAGAAATTTGATTGCAAATACATATTTAATCACTTGTAAGTAGTAGATTTCTTTAGAGGCATTTCTGCCATAAGAATGTACTATCGAATAATAAACTTTAGACTTAAAAGAAATTATTTGATTAAAACAAAGTTTTATATCATTTCCATGTAGAATTATTGGTAGAAACAAGGTCATTCGTTACCATTTCTGTGCTGCCCACATATATAGCAACTAGGACATTTTTAAAAACCTTCCAGTAGGGAATTTTTCTAATCATTGACAGAAACAAGACTTAGTCTTTACATTTTCAGTAGTACATTTGTAGAAACCATGGTTTTTTAAAAATAGAAATTAGGCAAAATTAGTCATTTTAATCTGTTTTCATTGCATGTCTTCATATTGAGAGAAAAGTCTAGAGACCTGTCAACTTGAGCATGAAGACATAAGTTTAGCATACCCTTTTAATTCCAGATTTTGTGATCGACATTTGATTTCTAATTGCCTAAAAATAGTATGCCAAATATATTTCACTCATATAGCATCATCTTTTTATTAACTTCTCTAAACTGTCAACCTTGTTTTGAAAAATTGCATTACTTTTTCTTAAAACAGTGTGGGAAGCCAAAAATAGCCTGCATGTGTTTTATTTTTAATTTCTTGAGGCTGGGAGAGGAGGGAGGGTCACAGTTTGCTTCAACAATGAAAATACACTGCATGCCGGTAAAGATGCAGGGGTAAAAATTAATACCAGGTTTTAAAGATGATTAGCAGTTAGTAATTTTTTTTTTTAGCGGTTAGTAATATTTTGAAAATATCCATATTTCCAAATAAGATGTGTATATGAAATTATTTTTGTTTTCTAGGTAGTTGGCAAAAAAGGAGAAAGCCATTAAGGTACAGAAGACACTGGAAGACCACATTGCAATCAGATCTACAGCTCCTGGATAATTGCTTGATTCTCACCAGAGACTGTCAATATTCCATTCATTGCCATTACCAATAAATCATTGCTTTTGTTCAGATGGTATCATTAGTGTTTCTATTGTAATCTTGATACATGCAATTGTAAATAAAAGTCATACTTTTGCCAAGCTTAACTTTTGTCATTCTAAATAAGTATTTTCTCTTTCCATTTATTTGAAAATTGGCCAACTTGTGATTTTAGAAGAGATTTAAGTTTCTGGTAACACTGATTGAAAGCCACTTTCTTTAGAGGAGCAAAACTATTTTAGGTAATTCAGGAGTGTATGTGCACTCATGTATACACAAACAGAAAGTGATTTTGATACATGGACTTGGAAAGCTAACTATTTCAAATGTTTCAGAATGCAGTAACTTATATGTTTATTAAAACATTTTGGTATCTGAGGTATAGAGATTTCTCAAATTATAACTACCAGAAATAAATTAATAAGCTTTAAGTTTAACTTAAACTATTAGTTAATGAACCAGAGATTCTAAGCCCCTCTGAGTCAGCCATTTTCTTTACTAGGAAAGGTTTGTGAAAATCTGAGAGTAGGGGAAAAAAAGTACTATCAATTTATGAAACATAGAAATTAGTGTTTTCAATCAAGTTTTTATTAGCTACCAAAAGATGCAGTGTAAGTATACGGAAAACATAAGTTAAGCTTGAAAATGCATTGGCCAAATGTATGTTTAAAAGGTCTTTCACAAAAGGCTGGTAAAACAAAACGTGTTTCTTCTTCTTTGTTTTTAATCTTAAAACTACTTCAGAAAGTATTGGTCAATTTGTTTTTAATTTCTATTTTTCTAATTCAAATTTAATTTTTTAATTTCTGAATATTTTTAAAATTTGGTGTTTGGAAAGTATACATACAACTGTCTTAATTTTGATTCAGTTAATTAAATAGTACATTTGCTGGTGGTGGTGTCTGGCAATATGGTTGAGATACAATTTTGCCTTTGGAGAAGAATGTACCTATAATTGTTTTATGAAAAAAATTATGCAGAAATTTTAGTGTTAAAATAGTCACTTTCTGAAACCCCTGTCATTAGATAATGTTTAGGGTTTTTTTGTATGTAAGCACATTAACTGATCTGTATTAGCTATGTTGCCTTGGATCAAGTGGAGGCAGAAGGCAAGAAATAAAAGTTTCTAACACTCCTTAATATAGACCATCTCAGATCAATCACGTCTGAAATTAAGGATAAAATTAATATCAAGATTTTATGTTACACTTTTGTACACAGCTTTTTGGGTAATTCTTAAAGTGCCTCATCTTAAGTATTACTGACCTCATTCTATTTATACTTGACAATTTGAAAACCCAGTGAAAATAATTTCATCTTTGTAAAGGAATTGGCATCAGATTTATATTGTTTATGTGACTTTTCTATAACTCAGTTGGTTGCATTATACAAACATTCCATAATCAAATTGTAAATAGTGAAAAATGAATGTTTATAGGTAACTGTAAATGTTTCACTATGGGAAGTTTTATAAATAAACATGCATAGTTGACATTATTTAAATTAACAAGCTGAAATGCTGATGTTTTATCCTAAAAGTGTGTGCATTACACACACAAACGTATACATATATGACTTGTTTATGCAACACGGAATCTTCCAGATAAATAAAAGCATTTGAAAAATGTAACCCCAGTTATTTTAACCAAACCATCCATTAGTGCTTTCCAGAAAACTAACTTTGTTTATTGTTTATCAGACATAGCAAAAAACTCACAAAACTTCCCTCATTTTGCACATTTCACATAAGATTGCATTAAAACAATGAAATACCTTGTCCAGAAAACAAAAATATTAGAGCACAAAGTCTTTGCTAGCACACAGTTGAGGTAAAAGAGCAAATCCTTCACTCATGTTCCTCTGCAAGGCCTTTATGATCCATTTTGGCCAAGTGGGCCCCCATTTTCAGGGTTGTGTTGAAGACGAGCCACTAAATCTATTGGAGTTGACATGTAAGTTGAAATCTATCCACCGTCTATCTCACGTTTTGGGGTTGTATACTAGGTTTTTGAAGTGTTTATAGGTGTGCTGTTACTGTACATTTGGCCTCAGCCTCTTATTCATGGTTGCCATTAATACATTTGATGTGGGGACATACCTACTGTTCAGATCTTCCTAAACCTTTAATGTCTAAAGCAAACTTTAATACAGTAATAAGAATAACGCACTGGAATTGACTAGTCAACTTAAATCCTCTTGTAAGCTTCTAAGAATGAAAAAAATTTGCCATTCCATGTTGCTTGTATTAATACTTCTCCAATTCAATTTTGCAGATTCTGTTTATATATCTCTTCTGGAATCAGTCATTTCTAACTTTAATTTTTTTCCCTACATAAATCCATTCACTAAGCCCCTAAGGAAAACTTTGTAGGAATATTGTGTTCTTTTAACTTGAATACCTTGTCATCAGAGGTGTTTTGCGTTTTACAGAATTTTCCATACTCTCATTATGTATGTTTATAATACATGTATAACATGTTTGTTAGGTAAACAAAATTTAAGAGTGAATATTCCCCATCTAAGCCAGTGTTGCTTCAGGAAGAGTATTGATGCCATTTAAAGCATTTTTTTTTTCAAATTGTTTTATTTTTACATCAATACATTTTTATATGGCCAGCACTGTAAGTGGTTACAGTGGGGATTTTACATGCTAATAAGATCACTTTAAAACTTTGTGGCCCATGCAAAATTATTGGAGAATGTGTAACTAAATTATGCTCAGAAGATTATTTTAGAATTTGGGTATGCTCCTAAAATTGTACACAGCTTGGAATAATATTAAACTTTATGATATGTAACCCCAAAGCTGCTAGAGTGTTTCTCTCCCTCTTGTACTTTGCTGTGGGAAGAGGAAGCTTATTCAGGGATTCTGGTAAATTGACCAGGCCAGAATTAGTTGTGAAAACATGATTTGGTGATTTGGTGAAAACATGACTTGGATAAGCATTTGAGGTCCCGGCATGTTAGGCTACTTAGGTGAGAATCTCCACTGTTTGAATTTCCTTTCCTACTTGTGAGCTATGTCTTCTTGAGAAAGTAGCATTTTTCAGAGCTTGAGTTTCCTCTTTTGTAAAAATAGAAACATTACTTCTTGGTCTTGCTATGAAGATTAAATGTGTTTTACTTTGTATCTGGAGCAAGGATAAGTTACCTTGTGTATCCTATTCTCCCCTCTTGACTCACTTGTCATTGCTGTTCAGGCCTTTTCTTGCTAGGTATAATGTAGCAATTTCTTAATTGTGTCCTTGCCTCTGACCTGGCCTCTGTAATGTGTCTGCCACATGACTGCTGGTTATCTTTCAAGGTCTTCATAATGTGATTCGCCCCTCCCCTCGTCAGCCTCTTCTCCCCCTCCCTGCTGCCAATTCCCCTGCGTGCTGAACCTTCCTAGCATCCTGATATCTAATACATACTTGTGACTCAATATGACCTCTTAGCATATTCCTATGTAGCTATAAGACTCAGTGCAAGCAAAAAGGATAAAGGTAACACCAAGATTCTGTTTGTCCTGCTGCTGCCAGAGCACCTTGTGATTATTTCATCCTGGTACTTACCAAATTATGTAATTATAGTCTTATTTATTTTAACCAGCAGAACTGGGAGGATTTTGTTCCCAGTACCAAACCAGTGTTACTTTTATCACTATCATCATTAAACACACCATTGAACAAATCACCAAATTTCAAGAGGAGATGCTTGAGGTAAGTCTGAGAACCTAAGTAGGAATTTGCAGTTCAGCAAGGTGAGGAAGAGAACTTAGTGGATACAGGGGAAAGTGCATGGTGCCTTCATGGAATCACTGAATTAAATACAACAGATTTGTTAGGGAGGTGAAGGAGGAGATGAAGCTGGAGGAGCAGATACAAACCATGACATGAAGCTCCGCTTGCCATCCGAAAGAGGCTTTATCCTGTATTTATGGGGTGGGGGTGCAGGGGCAGGGAGAGGACTCCACAGTCATTTTTACAATTGGATGAAGAGATATTGGTTCTTACTAGAAGCAGTGTATTTTCAGGGAAAGATGAATATAGTTTTGGATATGTTGCCTTCAGCGAAGTACTTGAAATATGTTTATTGCCTTTCTGGTGGAGATGACTAGTAGGTACACAGGCAAGAATGTTTTAGAGCTTAGGGGTAGAAGTAGGGAACTAGGAGTCTTTTAAGTTAATAGTAGTTGAAACAGGTGGTTTGAAAGGGAGGAGTGTGAATATAAAGGAGAGGGAAAAAAGCAAACGTGTGCCACTTAAAATAGGAACCCTAAAGCCTTACATTATTGATAAAACACAACTGAGGAATAGAAAAGGACCTCAACCTCGTAAAGAACATTTACGAAAAATGTAAAATGCTCATATGGTATTTACCATGTCTATTTGTTTTCCCTTAATTTCGATCTGTTCATTAGCCTTTCTGTGTATTTCTTCTCCTTGGCCTTTTTGGTAGATTTTAGAGCAATTATTCTGTAAGATTACCCTCAATTTGGGATTATCTGAATGGATTCAAACTCTTCATTTTTTTACAGGAATACTACTGAAGCAGTGTTGTGTCCATCTCAGTATATCTTTTCAGGGGCTTATATCTGTTTCATAATTGCTAATATTAGGTTTGATGACTTAAAGTAATTAGCCAATTACTTATTTTAATAAGTAACTTGGGAGGTATTTTGAGATATTAAATATCCTGTTCCTTATCAAACTTCTACATTAGCTAGCATTTGTTACCATTTTTTAAAATGCCATTATTTCTTTTACATTTCTTAAATGATAGTTCACCATAAGGCAGATATTTTTCTATTATTTATGTACTTATGTCTTTATTCATATAATATCTATCAGTATCTATATCAGATATCTATATATCAATATCTATATCAGTATATCATATAATATCTATATATCAATGGGTTATAATATATTACTATCAGTTTATTTTGATATTCATGCTGTTCCGGAGTTGCCTGATGGAATCCCCTGCAAGTTGGCACCCATGTTGACTTGATACCTCAAGCATCCTTGAGCCCTGCCTTCCTTTCTTTTTTTTTTAATTTTTTAAATTTTATTTTTTATAAAGGCAAAGAGTAGTTTTACTATACTTTAATTTTATT